CAGTTTCCTATTTTTGGTGCTATTAGAGCCTATTCAATAATGTGCTGCCGATTTTCAAGAAGCCAAGCAATGTTTCTGAGTTGGATACGGACCCACACACACTGCCTGTAAGCCATCTACTCGCAGAGAGGCCAAGCCAATGGTTTGGAATCATACCTAAAATATATCCCATCCCACCACAAATAATTGGTTCCTTGGCTTTACTAGCTTAAATTTTCATCCTCATCTCTCCCTCAGGGTAATTTTCATGACTTAGTAAATAAAAATGCACATGATTAGTGAATTTATGCTTAAAAAAAATTCAAGAACAAGACGTTTACCAAACAAAGGAAGCCTATCCCATTTTACAGCTATGAAAGCCAGCTCTCTCTTGTTCCCTCAACATTTCACATAAACAAATATCGCCGAATAGAATATATCCTAATTAATGATAAATGATTTAGGCCACCACTTTTTGACCTTGACTAGGAAACTTAGGATGTATTAATTTAACAACCTTTATAGCACCAAACTCCTATGATGGGAATGACCAAGTTGAAGCAGCCACCATAGATTGTGCAACGTAATCAAGGCCACCATTGATCGATAAAGTGTATTTCATTCAATACTTTTTTTGTTAGTGTCCCATGAGACTTACAGAGCCAGCATCCTCTGCAGTACAACACACGTTAGTTCTCCAAACCGAAGACGTTTCATACACAAAACGATGAAATGATTTCATTTTGGGGATCACCTCTGCAAACAGCAAAAGACTTTTACCCCTGTTACAGCCCGCTGCTCCAAGGGGAAGGGGTGAAAACCCAGACAACTTAGTTGCAAAAAGAGTGAGCCTAAAATACTAACAGATTAAAAAAGCAGCATCAAAAGTTTCTCCATAATACAACTGATATCATGAACAGCTTAACCTCAGACTCAGCCAAGGCACAATGTATTACGGAGACGATGAGGGCTTAAGTGAATCTACTAACAATTTGTTTGCCTGAAGGAATCTTAAGAAGCTACGTCACATATCATCTAAACACTTGGCACAAAATTGGGGATACCATGACTTTCAGTTCACAAGTGACAGATCTCCACTTACCCAGGAAAAAAAAAAAAAAAGAAGCGAACGATCCTCATTGACATTTGACAACCACCTGTACAATAGGGCCACCACAAGTATTCACTGCGTTTAGAGGATGGAGCTCACAACTGCCCAGATTGCTGAAAAGTTCCCCTGATGGATACCTCCCAACAAATAAGTTTTTCAGCCCCAAGCTGAGCTGTATAGAGGAAAGTGAGAGAGAAAATGACAGTTAAAGCAGAAATGAAGGTCGAACCATGTGACATATGGTCCCTCTTATACCACTAAATTAACATGCTATCCAGCTCAATGTAAGAGTTCGATAGTAGATTATAGTTTGCAAAATCAACTCTGGATGATGCTAAAAATCTTTTAAATATTTGCCGCAATCTTATCAAACTTTTGAAGTATATATGTTTGGAAGCAGATTATTGCAATTAGGATGTGTGAATCATAAAAGTCAAATTTGATGCCTAAGAGCTAGAACGCACCACCTACAAAACCAGTACAAGCTAAATCAGGTATAACTTGCATTACTTCATTACTTGTAGAAACTCCATTTTGAAAAATCTATAACACAAGAAAAAAATAACGATTCGATCAAAATCCAATTTAGCAGGCATAACACCAAGCAGCTTGTAAAAGATAACCAATTAAATGGAGCTTCATTCCCAGTTAACATATTATAACTGTTTTCATATAATAGACTTTGAGACTAAATCTTATCATCATTTATTTTTATCATGAAAATGTTTGCTAAATTTGAGGGCACCATGCTATGGTCATGTGATTTTTAATAGACCAGATATGCTCTTCATATCCTGTTTTTCTTCTTCCTTCTTATGCATGTGTATGCTGGGTGGGAAGGTCGTCAATTTCAGTTGCGCAAGTAATAAATCTGTTAATTATAGACAAACATTTAAACATTCTCTTGATCTTCGAGTTTGAACATTAAACCTTGATGTTTCATGGAGTAGACGAACACTTAAAACATTCTATTTTTCAGGAACAATATGAATCTCATCAAACAGCACGTCCAGAGGCCCTATACCTTACTAGAACAATACTTCTTTACCATAAAAAGGGCCTCTCCATCGCATATATCAACAGTTAAAAACAAAATAAGTCTTCTCTCCCTCTGGTGGGACGATTTACTACCTACAAGAATTAGTAGAAGAGATATAAAGTACTCACGGTGTTATATGTTTATGTACCAGAAGTTAATTAAAACCTAGTCCTAAAAGTTTAGAAAAGGATATGAGTTGCAGGACCAAGATGGATCACCACCATCAATAAGGGTTCTGGAAGGAATAGCTTGAGTACAAACAATTTCAAAGTCCAGTTACGTTCTACACGGGTTTTTAGTTTGATACTGCCTTATAATCTCAGCTATAATCAAGTGTTTTAGGTACAGAATGAAGTTTGAACCCA